GCACGCACACACACGCACACCACAGTAGAGTCGAGTGATGGCAGAGCTGCTACTGGAACAACGTTTGTCTTGGCAAACGTCTACCCCCCAGAACCTAATTATTTGCAGCAGCTGCTCTTGCTCTTGTTTGTAGCACAGTGAAGCTAAACTGTTTAAAGGATCTCCCTTCTTTTCTGAGCTGGCACTCAGCGCTGCATTTTTAAATGTCCCAAAGCTGCTTTGCAATGATCTGGGTAGGGCAATAAGAAATTTAATCTCAATGCTGCTGGGCGAAACTGACGTGAAGGGAAGATTTATGGATCAGTCTTGTGACTACTACTTTCACATTCAGTAACACAAACTGGCATTGCCAATGTATTGAAACTTAAGCCAGTTTCTAGTAGAAGCAATTGGCTTTAAAGAGTACCACAGCATAATTTTGCAATTCAGGGAAACCAGCTTAGAAAAGATATGGTCTTTTACTGCTACAGTAGGTAAACACATTGATTCAATATTCAATAAAGAACAGTATCCTAAGTTACTTACATGGTCCTTAAAATAGAGAACTAAAATGTATTCAACTACAGCATTTAGATTTTTAGACCATCCAGATGTGATATTATAAGTAGATGTGGATGTGTTTTTCTGTATTAACCAGAGAGAAACATCACAATTCAGACTTTACTCAGTACCTTTTAGGAAAGCTCTGTTTCCCTAATTGATCAAACAGTGACATTTTGTAAAAATGTCTCCACTGGCCTTAAAGCAGCAGTCATCACAACCTATTGGTGGTTGTGTTAAATACTTCAAATAACAAGCAGGAAGTGTAGCTACGGCTGGTTTACCAAGGTAAACACAAACTCATACAACAGCAGCTTTCACCCATACAAACTCCTCTCTTCTCAGCCCGGCTGCTGTCCACACAGCCTTTCACAGCTGCACAATCTCCATTTGCAAACACCTCATACACACACACACACGTATACACACACAGTGCCTGGAGCTAGGTATAAATACTATACATCATATTCCCACTCCACTGGCAAGTTTCCCTTCTCACTTGACTTGAGTTAAATAGCTGAAGTGAGGTGTAGATTCTCTGAGTCTCTACCTCTCTACTTAGCTCTGACAGTTTGTCCGGAAAGCGCTCTTCAGCAGCTCATCCATTTAGCGGATACTGACACGATCTGCCAGAGGTGCACTCTGAATAACATTTATGAAAAAACTTATCTGGGCTGAAGTGAGGGAATGTTAAATGCCACACTAAGTTTTGAGAATGTAGAAATATTGCGCGTTAGTTTCCTATTTTACGAATTGACAGTTAGAAAGAAAACAATTTATCTTCAATAAAGTTTTTAGGATTAAAAAAAGAAAATTACACATTAAGGACATACAGAATAAACAGAATACAAACTGAATTTTTGATAGGATGCCTCCACTGACTTATTATGCAACATACTTTTTAAGTGACAGCTAGCTTTTTTAAATCGCCAGTAGCTTCCTTTCACTTTCAAATATCCTGCATTCAGAAAAAGTAGAAATTACCAGATGGGTGCTTATGGATTGGGGGGGGGAATGACATTAATGGAATGTGCTGCCTTCTAATCCCTTGAGACGGAGGAATTTGCGACGGAGGGAATTCCTGTCATTCATGGGGAAAGCTATGAAGTCCAGCACACACAGAGCTGCTGTACAGGCAACACAGATTTACTGCACTTGTGGACTCCTGACTGTATCCTGCATCAGACATTTGCTGGCAACTAAACAAACTAACAGGCACAGACAGTGCAAAAACAGCAGAGAAAGGGTGGAAAACAGCAGAAAACAGAAGAAAACATCAAACAGACAAAAAAAAAAAGACAGTGAGAAACTAAGTACCTTAAAGGCAGGAGAGCAGAGTAAGAGGCAAGGCTAGGATTCCTCTCTGTGTTTTCTTCTCGCGTTTCTTCACCGGGTCTCCCTTCGCTCATAGAGGGGGGATTGCTGGGATTTTGGGTTGAAGAGCAGGGGGACCACACAGCTCCTGGAAGACAACCTCTCTCCTCTAATCCTCTCTCCGATGTGATGACACTCTCTAACCTCGACCATCTGTTGAAACACGTCCCGGAGCAGTCAGCACCGCGCTGTGTCAAGAACCCCACTCCCCTGCCCAATCACAGACCGGCTGCTGGGTGGCTCCTTGCTGCCAGGAGGCAGGGACAAGGACACAGCTCAGCGCTGAGGGAGACACACACACGCAGTCACTCACACACATACACACACACACGCTCTCTACGAGATGGAAGCAAGAAAACCCCCAGTCATCGTAACCTGAGAGGCAGAGTAGGAGGAAGGGACAGGGAGAGTGAGAGGAGTGGAAAGAGAAGGAATGGGAGGAGAGAGAGAGAGAGAGAATGTTTAAGTGGCAAAAAGCAGAGATAGATAAGAACAAGATGATAAACCTTGGTTGTAATATTACTTAACAATTCTCACACAAAACTGACTGAAACGCCAAGCATGCATGCACTACTATACACACACACACACACACACACACACAAATACTTCACCTTCTGTCCCTGACCCCTTCCCTCTCAACCCCTATCCCTGCAGCCACATAGTATGTGGTCTAAAGAATCAAACTTTTAAAAAAAGCAATAAAATTCTGTATGGGGTCCGTGGTGGGAATGCTATTGGCACTTAACTGTTACAGGCACAGAAGCACAGGCAGCAGCCCTCACACCTTAGTGTGATAAATCCTTACAGTCCCCCGGATACATTCCTGCCCTTCACCACCTATTGCCTTAAGTTAAAAAGGAGGGCAGAGGGGAAGACAAGAGTAAGATAAAGAAAGAAAAGGAAAAGAAGAAGTAAAGATAAGAGGGAGGTATGGGTTTACAGCTAAATGACAGAGCAAACATTTACCATGTATTATCAACCCTTCACCATTAAAACCATTACTGGTGCATTTCCTAAATGAATCAACCAATTTTCAACCCATTCATGCAAAACACAAGGAACATTAGGTGAGAAAGGCTGTCACATTAATCATTTTGTTGAACCACTGTCCTACTCACTGATCCATTAAAAAAAGGATTACAAGACCCTGATGATATTCAGGGGTAACTTCAAAGGCAAATGCTAATGAGTTTATACCCATTTGATATCAGACAGCATCACAATGAGTTAATCAGGAGGTGTGAAACACCAAAGAAAGGCTTCTAAGTGGCTCATTTACATTCTACAAGCACTGTCAACACCCTCGCCCCTATTTCAAGTTGTCCTTTGATAAATACTGTAAACTGGTTTACAGACAGTTCTTAATGAGGACTTTGATCATTGCTCTTCAACTGACCCTAAATCAAGTTTATTCATCAGACATATTCATGTATACTTAAAAGCCTTTTTTAAAAAGGGCATCACTTCCTCTCATATACCTCAATCTTTAACACAGTACTGTGACCAAACTAATAAAGATTCATACATGTTTTGTTGTAATATTGCTCAGATCTCCCATGTGTGCTTTCCATTTTAATTTGATTGCACCAAACACAAACAGCAGTTTTTTCAGTGGATGCCCCCAGTTATAGTCCCCTCAGGTTTATGAGGATATTGGATTAAACTAAACAAAGCCTATTTTCACCAGGGACACGTGAAACTTTCCCCAGCTTGGCCTGATGTTTGAAACAGGGGCAGCGGTGAGGGAGAAAAAGGGCCTTAGGGGGGAAAAGAGCTCAAATTAGATTAACTAAATTCACAAAGACTGTCCCCGGCCCCTCCTGCATGGCTACACACATCCCAACCCACACCTCCAACCCCAGCCCCCATTCTCACGGCCGAGAGGTTTCCAAAGGGCCTTCAGGCAGGCCAGGGGCGACCAAATCCCTGTGCTCTTTACTGGATTAAAGATGGCTGCCCCACTGGGGAAGAGGGGCTGTTTTTTCATAAGCTGAGCACATCTGTAAACATCATAAATCCATCCAGACAGAAAAGGTTATCAGGCTGAGTTTCTGTAAGGAAAACATCAACAGCCTTATCCAGCCAGGGTCCACCTAGAAACCAAACTTTTAAGAGGAAGAAACTGCTCTGCCCTGCTCTGCTCTTGATCTCCATTTTCCATTTTCACTTCCACTTATGGACACAACAGCAAAAAAAAAGCAAGGGTAGAGGGAGGTCTATGAAATGGCCTCATCTTATGAATGACTGAATGACCTGCAGGGGGGCCAATAGTTCTCTGGTAACCCCCATTCACTCTCCTTCTCCCAATCCTCACTTCCCAAAGAATTCACCAAGCTAAATCATGGTGGTTATCCAACACAGAAATTAGCTTTACAGTAGCCATTATTCTTTTATTTTTACACCCACACAGTATAGCATACTCTTGTCCAAGCATTATTTTTAAACTTGATCCAAGCCACCTTATATCTCAAACTCACTTCACTCTTTTTCCCTTCCAGCTTTCCAACCATCAGTTGGGCCTGCAGGTGCAGGCAGAGGCCAGTATTGGGGGGCTGCTCGGTTCACTAGCCCCATTCTCTATGGCTGAATGAGATACATAGGGGTGTCATAGCTGTGCCAGCATAGAGGGCTAGAGCTGAAGCTGGGGGATACAGCCAGGATGTGGAGGAAGGCAAACCTAGGGGTGACATTGTCTTGTGCGAGACAGCATTTTAAATGCCAAGCACATGGCTACTGCCATGCTAGCCTCTCTGTGTAATGCGTGCTGTAGACTCGTGTCAGATGACTGGTGAAGGGTATCGAAGTATTGAATGTGTCAGCTGCTTAAGATCCTTTTGAGTCAGGATGTAAGACACTAGGGACACAACGTTACGTCAACTGCCAACAAATTAACTACTAAGTCTAGGAGAAGGGCTTTATGGCCACGTTTGAGAAAACAAAACTTTTTTTCTACAGCTAAGCCCAGGTGTGATCAAGTTTGTAAAGCAAGGTAATCAATAGTACTGCTGTTCCTTGGTACTACATTTGCTCTATTTCCAGCTGGTTCCCAGGGCCCCTTACACTTCAGGGGGTCGAATCAGTGTCATCTTAAGTTCATGCCACAACACCACAGTTGAGAGCCAGGGATGACTCGGATACAGCAGGAGAGCAGGAGAATAAATACAGAGTTGGTCATGAATGTACAGAGCTAGGAGGAGAAATGAAAGGCAGGAGAGAGGGAGGACAGAGGGGGGACAGAGGGGGGACAGAAATACAGTAAGGGCAGAGGGGTGGCAAGGGTAAAGAAAAAAATTTAAGAGAAAGCAGGGAATGGAAGGGGGGGGGGGCTTCTGTGGTTCAGTGACAGCTGAACATGCAGCACATGCATATGCAGGGAGCTCTCCTCACGCCACCCTCCTACTGTGCCATGCATGTGCCCTTGTACTGCACGTATGTAATTCAACATGCATGAAAACCACACACCCGTACAGACGATGTAGATGTCTGCATCTGCCACCAAATAATGAATGAAGCCAATTGACAAACCCTTAGAGTCACATTAAAAAAATCTATTTCATATTAGGAGTAAACCTATGCTTTCATTATTGGGAATGTCACGTTAACACCTTTACTGATTTAAAATTAATATGGTGTTATATACTTTCATTTTCAAAAATGAGTTATCTAAACATGACATATTTCAGTAACTTTCTATCAAAAACATGTAAATAAGGGTTACTGGCGTTTGGTTACTACTTTTTAAAACAGCTTAATTGAACAACTGCCCTTATCTTGGTATTCACAATGATGGACGATGATAATTTGTGTGGCTGTAAACATGCTTTGCATGTGTGGAGCATTCAATTTACAGGTTATACACTAAATAACACAATATAAGAGTTTGCCATGTTTTACTTAAAAGGTTACCAGCCATTGCTGCAATAAACATAAAGGCTAACACCTATTCTTGAAAACCCACTGTCAAGCAGCTAAGAGGTAGTGCTGCAAAGGAAATAGACTAACACATAATGAACTCATTAACAGTAACCTGAGATCATGTGTTAGGTAATGATGATAGGATTTGGAGGTCTGTTATGAATGACATCCAACAACAGACTTCAGTCAGATGCCAGATGTGCTATCACCTCTCGAGCAGATGTTTACATGATGGTCAACCATGGCCACCTACCGTCAGTGTAAAGAGTGTAAAAGCCAGTTCCGTTCATAATGAAAGATAATATTGCATTTTGACAACAAAATGTTATCTTACGGTCTTAAAACCAACAAATTAGTTCAGAGCAGTTAACATATTTATCATTCCCCCATAACACAAAGCACAAGTGACTATGCTTCATTGAAAGTAGTGGTTTCCATAAGCCATACTGCCCTTATGTTGCAAGTAAACGTGGTTTTTCCACTAAATACAGTTGACTTAATCCTTCTGCTGATCATTTTGGATCTGAAGAAAATTATAAGTTAGATTTCCATACTCAATATCAAACGACAGGTTGTACCCCTGGTAAACATAAACAGGTGCAAATACTTACTAACTTCCACATATCTAGTTCAAGAGGAATGTCGTCTATATTGGATAATTCTTGGCATGACAAAAGGTAAATGCATCCAGATTTAACAGATTTAATAACAAGTCAGCACAAACTATGATACCTTGGCTCTTACTAGCTGCCAGAGGCACTTGAAAACATATAGAGACCCTCACTGATCAAGCCTTTAAACACTGTGTGGCAAATGGGGGACCCCATATCTTCTGAATCAATGGACAGATTCATCGAATCTCATTGTCCATTTACCAAATATGTCAATACTGTGTTGCCTGTTGTTCATTTTCTTTTCCAAACCTTTTTAGTATATTTTATGTTCACAGAAATCATGAAATCCAATGATAGTACATCAAACTCCTTTACAAAGCTGATAGACCACCCAGGGAGCCATCTTAAAGCAGGATTAGGACTTTCCAAGAACTTCTACAAAAGTTGGGAAAAGATAGCGAGAAAAAACAATCCTATCATTCCCCTAAACTTGTAAATCACCAGATGATGGGAATGATTCGGGATAGCCTTAAGGTTCAGTAAATGGGTAAATGGCTGGGAACCAGCGCTGTAAGCCATGTAGATATGAGATAGATACAACAGAGAGATACTGATCACTCTCCTTTAAGAAGATGAAAGACATTCTGACAGCTAAGACAGTGGTGGTCATGTAGTGACCAGGTTCCACAAGCAAAGCCCCAAGGACCTTTTAGACTGTAGTAATTCCAATTGTATTTTTTTATTTCTTTTTGCATTTATAAAACGTGTTTTTAACAACAACAACAACTTTAGTTAAGTACACATCAGCAGGGGGTTGGGAAGATTAGGAAGAC